GATATGTAGGGATACATTGGGATGGACGCGTTCTGGGATACCGACGTATATTTAGGAATGACGGAAAGTCAAATGGACAACAGAATCTGTTGTGGACAAGCCTTATACATAGCCCTCATGTCAGGGTCCCGACCTGGCAACTCCCCACCTACCTGGGAATTCCCTAAACCCTGAACCCTAAACCCGAAACTCCGAACCCTAAACCCTTAAACCCTGAATCCTAAAACCCTTCACCCTGAGCCCTACACCATGGCCTGCTCGCAGCTAAGGATGGATGTAGCGAGCTGTGTCGCCTGGAGCAGGCCATATCTGCAGCAGCTGGCATCGGTGGATTTCATGGCTGAAAGCAGGGTGTAGGGTTTAGGGTATAGGGCTGAGGGCTTTGGGTTTAGGGCTTAGGGTTTAGGGTTCGGGGTTTAGGGTTTAGGGGTTTGGGGGTTTCGGGGTTGAGGGTTTAGGGTGCTATGCTTTCAGAGTCCCCAAATCCTGGCCTTCTGGATTTGCCACGTCTTGTCTTATCGGGATTATCTTGTTTGAAAGGGCGTGGATCGTAATGTTTTGGTGACAATAATAACCACCCCGCCAGAACTTGTTTTGAGATTTGGGCTTACGGAAGGGGGGGGGGTCGTAATAATGAATGGCGGGGACATTGGTAGGACCAGGTCGTGCAGCTCGTAATACTAGTAGGACAAGTAGAAGGGAAGCTATTTTAATCGGGACGTTTCCGGCCGGACAATTTTTATTATTGCCACCCCTTTATTATTGCGGTTTGGACTTGTTTATACATTTTCGGGCTCCGGACTTGTTAGAAAGCAAATTTGATTGTCCGGGATTTTTCCGGGCCGGCAACAAACCGCTATTGTCACCCCATTGATTAATGCTACCTGAACATTAGGCGGGAAGACTTGAGCCCCCCTTATGTTTTCAAGTGTATTCCTGCAAGTCATATTATCCTTCTAAGAAGAGACCACTAGAAAACGGCCCCCCAAATATCTGGAACAACCCTGAACCCTACAAATTTCATTAAATCCTCCTACATCCTCATCACCCCTCTGTCCCCTTTAACGGGCCCTTGCTAGGAACACTCCGTTAAGCAACTTCTCCGAGCCTTTTCTCTGCAGCCAGGGCTATCGCTGCTGGCCTCCAGGAGCCTGGTCCCCAGAGAAACTGTAAGTTTAGGGTTTAGGGTTTAGGGTTATATAAGGTTATATCAGGGTTTAGGGTTTAGGGTTATATAAGGTTATATCAGGGTCTAGGGTTTAGGGTTATATAAGGTTATATCAGGGTTTAGGGTTTAGGGTTTAGGGTTATATGAGGTTATATCAGGGTTTAGGGTTTAGGATTATATAAGGTTATATCAGGGTTTAGGGTTTGGTTATTTAAGGTTATATCAGGGTTTAGGGTTTAGGGTTATATAAGGTTATATCAGGGTTTAGGGTTTAGGGTTATATAAGGTCATATCGCGGTTTAGGGTTTAGGGTTATATAAGGTTATATAGGGGCTTAGGGTTTAGGGCTTGGGTGTAGGGCTTAGGGCGTAGGGTTTCATGTAGGGCTTTTATTCGAGAATCAAATGCAAAAGAACATGGAGAATGACGTGAAAACTTAGCTAGATAAGTCTAGTTGAAATATTACAGAGGGATATGTAGCGATATATAGGGATGCATGGAGGCATATAGAGATATATATATCGGTATATACAGGAATGGAAAGGAAGATGGAAAGCACTAGATTATTCAGGGTTTACGGTTTGGGGATAGGTGGGAGGACCCCGAGAACATACAGGGGCTGTGAGGGGATTGTGGGGATTCCCCATCAGGGTTGTAGCAGCAGGTATGATACTCCATTTGGTAGAGAGATGTTTTGATTTTTCATAAACGCCTGGGCACCCGCAATGACTCTTACTTCTGAGCCTATCGGCCTGAAACATGCGGCTGCTTCAGGCAAGATACTCTGCTCAGTTGGAGGCAGTTTAGGTCAGCATGCAGCTTGCGATAATCGGCCTTTTGTTAGTTGGACATTTCGGAAGTCTTATATGCTACGTTGCGAGTACTGGTACATGTAATGGCAATGGATAGCAATAGCATCAGGCTCTCTACCGTCCTTTCCTGCTAAGAAGAGGCCAGAGCACATTTTGGCTCATTCTTTCGGACAAGTTATGAGCATTGTCAGAAGGAAGGCTCCGGTTTTCAGAACATCCAGCCCGTTAAGGGCAAGTGACGCGCAACAGTCTTCTGGAGTTCATAGCTGAGGGAAATCACTGCGCCAGGTGCCTTGCCGTCAGATCTGTGGCGATTACTTGCGCTTGGAGGGGGAGGATTGGCACAACTGCAGCAGTGCTTAGTGGGTTTAGGGTTTAAGGTGTAGGGTTTTCGCATCATGCTTGGTTCCATCGCTCCCGCCAAAGAGCGCAGAAATTTATCATGTATTCTTCACAGCCCTTGCATGAAATTGCAAGGAAAGATGGGCTACCAACATGAGAACCCAACAATCAGGGAATCCAACCTACCGCCAGAATTTACCGCCCTATAACTCTAACAATAAGCCTTCCTTTGTGCTAGAAACCACAACCCCTATACTACATGAAGCCCTAAACCCAATAGAGCAGTTTCGATTTCATTTTCCGTTTTCCTTTTGTCCACTCTTGGGGTATTCTCAATATCCCTAAACCTTCAAGAATCATTACATAACCCCATATAATCCTTTCTTTCCTATATAACCTTTGCCCTGAACCCAGTGATCCCTTATTCTTTCCTATATAACCCACCTAAACCCTAAACCCCTAAACCCTAAATGCCTAAACCCCAAACCCCTAAACC